AAATAATTGTGCTTCTTGTTTCATTAGTTAAATAGGAGAAATGAGCAGAGAACCTCTATGTACATCTACCCCTACGTAGGCCAACAAACTTCCCTCTGTACCCTGCCTTCTCTCCTACTGCTATGGATGTGAGTCCATGCCCTTATCTAAGACTGATTGTGTCCCTCATGGACTGGATGCCATTCCCTTTTGCTTCGTTAAATTCCTGGCTCCTTTCTCTTCTTCATCATCAAATTTTCTTCCCTCTCCATAGATCATTCCTGTCAGTATACAAAGAGGTGGGAATATAGCCCATCTAAAAAACAAACATACAATAAAAACCCCTCACTTAACTACATAGTCTCATTGTTCCCTTTCTCTCTGGCAAAATTCTTTGACGGATTAGATCTGTATCTGTGGTTCTCACCCAGTGGTGATTTTACCCTCCAGGAGACATTTGGCCATGTCTGGAGATATTTTGGTTGTCACAGCTGGGGGAGGGGATGCAAATGGCACCTAGTGGATAGAGACCAGAGATACTATTTTTCATCCTATAATACACAGGACAGCCCCTCACAATGAAGAAGAATCGTCAGGTCCAAAATATTAGTAGTGCCGAGGTTGAGAAACTCCACTTTCTTTCCTCTGGTTCTCTCTAACTGATGACAAGTGAACCTTCGTTCCTTGGCCCTGCCCACTCAATGACATCTGCTTTAGTCAAGGTAAAACCCATGGTGCTGAATCCAGTGGTCTATTCTCTGCCCACTTCATACTCCCAAGTCTCAGCAGCATTTGACAAAGGTGATCATGGGCTTGTTCTTAAAACCTTTCCTCTCTCGTCTTCCAGAACACAGCACTTCCCTGTTTTTTGCTGGCTCCTTATTCTCAGTTTCTTTTGAATGTTCTTGACCTCTAAATATTAGAAGACTCAGGACTCTATCCTTATACTTCTGTTATTCCCCTCTTCACTTACTACTCAGGTGACCTTATCCAGTTCCATGGCATCAAGTATCATCATCATGTGATCTCCAGTGTACTTCTCCAGCTTGGACCAATCTCTTAAACTCTAAACATGTTTCCACTTTAAAATTGGCGTGTCCCAAAACAACCTTCTCCTCCTCCTCCTCCCCCTCCTTTTTCTCCTCTTCCACCTCCTCCTCTTTCTCCTTCTTCTCCCTCTCCTCCTCTGTCCCCCTCCTCCTTCTCCTTCCTTTTTCTTCTTCTTTTGTTTGTTACCCTTTGATTCAAACATATGTACAAGTGGAGAGACTAATATAATGACACCTCTCCCCATGTACCCATCACCTAGCTCAAACAATGAAAAACCCTTGGCCAGTTTTATATTGTTTTATATGTATTCCACCATACATGTATCCTTCTCCCAATTATTTTGAAGCAATCCCAGATATCATATATTCCATGAATAGATATTTCAAGTTGTAGCTCTAAAAGATTCTTTATAAATATTTAAACCATAATACCATTATCAACCTAAGAATTAACAATAATCTTTTAATATCATCAAATATCCGGTCAGTCAAAACTGACTCCCCTGACAACCTGCCCCTCCTCTAGCCTTCCCCATCTCAGGGAGTGGAGCCTCCCATCTGCCAGTTGCTCAAGGCAGACACTTGCTGCATCTTTAATAAATGTCTGTCTCTCACCTACTATATTTCCCCATCAACAAATACTGTGAGTCTACATTCCAAGTACATCCAGCATTTCATCACTTCTCACCCCTGCCACTGCCACTCTCTGGGCCAAGCCATCTAACTGGCATCCTTGCTTCCACTCTTGCCTCATCTAGTTAGTCCTCTGAACAGCAGCCAGAGCCCTATTTTATTTTATTTCATTTTATTAAGATTTTATTTTCAAGTAATCTGTACACCCAACATGGGGCTCGAACTTGCAACCCCGAGAACAAGAGTCATGTGCTCTACTGACTGAGCCAGTCAGGCACCCCCAGACCCATCTTTTAAATGAATAATCAGATCATGTCATTTCCTTTACTCAAGGCCCAGCTTCAGCTCCTGATTTAATTCAGAATTAACCCCCCTGTTAACATGGCCTACAAGACTCTATACAATCTGGTCCCTCTGTGAACTCCCTGACATCATCTCCTCCTGCTCCCCTCCTGCCATTCTGCTCCAGGGTTCCTCAAACACAGCACACATTCATATTCTTGCCTCAGGGTTCTTCACACACTCATCCTTCTGCTTGAAATGCTCTCTCCCAGATACCTGTTTGGCTGGCTTCCTCAAGTTATGCTGGTCTTTGCCCAAATGCTGCCATTACCAAAAGGCTTTGTCTGACCACCTTATATAAAATAGTCACCCTCTTCCCAAACCTATCTATGTCATTCTTTATCCCTTAATCCCCTTTCTAGAATAGCATTTATCTCTCCCTGACATACATTTTTCCTTTGCTAGCGGGTAAGTTCCATGATAGCAGGGTCTTTGTTCTGTTCACTGCTCAATTCCCAGTGCCTAGAAAAGTGCCTGGCATGTAGTAGGTGCTAACTAAATATTTGTTGAATGAACAGTTGCTTTATAGTGTGCTTTGATCTGACAACGAGCACCTGCTTTCCAGCAGTCAATTTGGTACCCCTTCCTTTGGTTTCCGTTGGATCAGACCTCTGGTTATTTAGACCACTAGATAAAAATGCTTAAGAAGGAAGTTCCATTACACAATATGTAATACATTGTCCCATTGTTCCCTTCCTCTCTGGCAAAGAAGGAAGGGGAAGAATTGGTAAAAATCATTTGCAAGTTGTTTCACATTGAATTATAGAAATAAAATATGGCCACTTGGGAGTAGCTCAAGATAACAACTATTGCTATAGCTGTTTTTCCTGGCACCTGTTTTGAGTCTGTTTTCTCAAAATTATAGTTGTTTCTTCTTTTTCCCTGAGGAATGTCAAAGAAAGACTTAATCTCATGACATTAAACAGAACTTTATCTCATTTCCGACACTAGGGTGAACCTGGATTTCCTGGCTCTCCTGGTGCACAAGTAAGAATTTATCTTTCTGGGCTGGTATGCAGCATGTGTCATTTGTTTGTAGTCATTTTTCTTCAAACTCAAGGTTTTGCTTTTGATTCTCTTGAGGGAGAAGATGGTGATCGGGGCCACCAAGGAGAGAAGGGGGCAAAGGGAATCAGAGGAAGGAGGGTAAGAATTAAAGGAATTTCCCAAGATCTATAGAGGTACACATCATGACACTCCTCACAGGAGCATTTCTATTGGGTTAATGGACTTCTCAGCAGGAAGCTCTTCTCCTCAGTCAGTAAACGTCCTACACCTTTCTCAGGCCATCCCCCCCCCCCCCACTTAATACCACTCTCATTGATCTTGTGAATGCAAATGCAGCTCATCAAAGCATAATAACAGAAAATCCAAGTTGGAGTTTCAGTCACACAATATCAATATCTATGGTAAGTCTGGATATCATTTGGAAGGGTATTGTTTTAGCTGCAGAGCAAACATTGCTATTTCTGTAAGATTTTTTCAAACCTTAACTTTCTCTTAGCTAATTTAGGACTAGACTCTCAGGAATGTGGCTGCCATCCTGGTGGACTTTGAGCCATGTTTTCATTGTGCTTTGTAGAGTCCACCATTAAAAATCCATTCCCTCAGGTTCCAAAGATTCAATCTCGAAAAGCTGCAATCACTGGCAGCTCTTTTCCGAAAGAGCCTGTGGATATCTAAAACCTTGATAGTTTTTATCAGATAGACATTAGAGAGCAAGGCCTTCTGGGAAAAAGACATGGACTATGTTCAGTGCAGAAAAGAGGAAAGAGAATATTTATTATCTAGGGGCGCTCAATAATTGGTATTTTCATACATTGGCAAGGACATAAAGAAAAAAATTGATCTATGCCTAACTTGGTTTGCTGCTGGCTAATATTGCCCTGCTTAGCTAAACTTATGTCTCTGGTTTCAAATAAAAAAGGACAAAGCATCAGTTACATGCAGATAATGCTATGTCAGTTCAAATACCTATAAGACAAGCAGTGAGCCGTGGTCAGCATACACCTTTTCTCAGACTCTAAAGACTAGAAGGTGGTGAAAGAAATTTTCCTTTCTCTTGATGTCAGGCTCTCAATGTATATTTCCTATTCTTTTAACTATATGACCTGGAGTCTAAACTGAGTATTGATCATCCTTTAAGGCTGGGTTTGGAAGTGTGTGTCTGTGTGTATGTCCACATGTTGGCCGGGCTTAGGTCTGTAGGGGGCAATTTAGATGGCTCCCAAAGGAGACTGCCTCCCTTTCTACCATTGGTGTCTCACTCCATTGATACAGTTCATAAACTAAATGGTCCATAGCAGACTCATTGGATCTTAGAAATAATGACAACTTAGTATCTCAAACTGGGTCTGATAGTTTTAATTGAGTTGTATTCAAGAGGAGAAGCTTATTCCTTTGGTTTGGCTATTTTTAGGGTAATGCTGGCTTTCCTGGACTTATTGGAACTCCAGGTGACCAAGGCCCTCCAGGACCAGTGGTAACATGGACTCGTCTTTCTTTTATTTTCAACCTTTGTGTAAAAGTAAATAAGGATTTGCTAAGAGCCATCCAAATGAAGAAATGAACATTTGGGAGGCACTAGAAGATCTGTATAGGGAATGAGCCAAATTTGCTTTTGAGGACATTAGCTTCAAGTCCTTACACAGTATATTTATTCAATGTATATTGTTTACTTGAACATGGGGAAGATATTAGAGCGGCTGGAGATTTATAAACCTGTCTAAATACATAATACATAAAATTCACTGGAGACTGAGTTTATCAATGTAAACAAGATGAGCAACAAAATTTATGCAAACACTAGAAGGAAATCCTAACAAAATGTGACATTTATATAATCTGAACTAAATTGACAATGTTGCAAGTCCACACATATTTTTAAAATTCCCTAGGAGGTCATTTGGTATGAAGGGAAAGACTTTGGGGCTATTGTCATTTTGCACCACCCCTTGTCCTATGAGGCTAGGCTGTCCTTTCATGAGAGATGGTACAGTGAGTGAGCCAGGGGCTGAACCCGGTGGTTTCACTGCATTTAGGGTTTACCGTAGAGGAGCCACAAAGTCATAGAATCAAAAATTTGAAGGTAGAATGACGCACATCCCCATTTTACAGATGAGAAAACAAAGGCTGAGAAGATTATAGTGACCTGCCTGAAGTGACAAATCACTACTTTGTAGAATCTAAATAAAAACAAAGATCTCTAGACTCCCAGAGTACCTCAGTCAGGCCTATCTGTTCTGAAGGTTCCAGGGATGACTTGTTTAGCACTAGAGCAGAGTTAGGATGGTGGTGGGTAGCCTGAGGAGGAGGGATAGGGAATGGCTGGGGTCTACTTTAGAACTATATGGTCCTGAGATCTTGAAAGGCCTTTTCCTGAATTGGATCCTAAACTGTGGCTTGTTCTCAAGATGACCTGATCTTCTAAGAGTCTTTATGTAGCATATTCCTGGATATCCTAGACTCTGAGGTCTGAGACACACCTCCTAGCCACTCCAACTTTCTTCCTTAAGGGGTCAGCCAGAATTCCAGGGCCAGGAGTGTAGGGGAAGAAGGGGGTCTATGTACTATGATATCTTTCTGAGGATGTTTTGCCAACTCCAGGGAATAATGTATTGGACCTCAGAATCTTACATTTTAGACTTGTTTCTATTCTTCCCAGGGCATCAAGGGGCTCAAAGGCTTGGCAGATATGACGGTAGGTGAACATTTTAATTCTAAACCTATTCTTTTTAGCACATGAGGCTTTCCACTTTCATAAGGTAGAAATCTGTAAGGATTCTTTTGTTTCTCCTCTTATAAATTCTTTTAGTACCTTAAGTTTATAGATTTTCCTCTGAAATGTTATAATCACATCAATGAAAAGAGTAGAATAATATTTTAAGTCATGGAGGCAATCTGGATGTTTTTGAGTACTACTACTGGTTGACATGAAGAGAAAGACTTTGAGGCTACAACTTCTACACAATATGCCTTTTTGTAAAGTTCAGAAGTCGCTTATAAAGTATTTATAAGCCAACATATGGTAGAGTCTATCTTCATGTGTCATGACACACCTGAAAACAATCTGAAAAGTTATGATGGTTTTTCATCTCACAAGCACAGAAATACTACTGCGGAGGGAAGGAAGTGGGGACAAGTGAGAACCAAGAAGTAATAGTGTCAAGGGATAAACAGAAACCGAGGAAGAGATCAAAGGAACAAAGCAGAATTCTAAAGGGGTGTGAAGGGTCCATGTCTTGGCAGTCATTCTAAAGAAAAATTCCAGGAATTGCTGACACAGAGATTCAGGATTTGAAGACATTTCTTTGCCTTTTATGCCAAGATTTCTGGATTGAAACTTCCTCAAAGTCAAATTTGATTCCATTGCTTTGTGAGGCAGATAAAAAAATAAAAAAGAGTTCCCCTTATTTACCTATCTCTAATAATATGAGCACTCTATGGTATGTAAAATATATTTTAAATATTTTTAAATATCCACTGTATCTAGAAATATAACTTATGGATCATTTCATCTGCTGTAACAATTTTTGTGTTTTCTATTGTAGCTTAAAAAGCTTCAGAAAGAAACTGATAATACCCAGATGACATTTCTAAGTCATGAGAGTGAGATTGAATATGCTTCAAATTAAATACTTTTTCCTTTTCCCTCTTTCTCCATCTTTCTAACAGCCTTGTGAAATCATTGCTATCATACAAGAGAACTGCCGTAAGTTGTTTGGGAAAGGCTCAAATGGGGGCCAGTGGTGTGAAGTGGGGATGAATCATGGTCATGAACTGGGGACATAAATCACCTGTGGATTTGACTGAGGTTTGGGAGGTACCATTGTCTATCATGAAAGGTTCTTTTTTTTAAAAAGATTTTATTTATTCGTTTGAGAGAGAGAGAGCATGAGCCAGGGGAGGGGCAAGAGAGAGGGAGAAGCAGACTCCCTGCTGAGCTGGAGTCTGACACTGGGCTCGAACCCAGGACCCTGAGATCATAACCTGAGCCGAAGGCAGATGCTTAACCAACTGAGCCACCCAGGGGCCCCATCATGAAAGGCTCTTATAAATTAATATATTTGGCTCAATCTCCTTTCGGGTAAGTAATCTTCGCCAATGTGGTCTCAGAAATGAAGTGGCTGAAAGGCATGCTGTCTCAACAGCGAAGAGAAATTCCATTATCATGTGGAATGAAAGGCAATGCCAATTGCATACCTGCATGTCTGCATCTTGGTGCTTCTTATCACAAAACAAATAAAGAAAAGCTTTGTTATTTTTATCCCATCCATTTAAACAAGAGGGATCACCAGGGAGCCTTCAATAAGAAATGTGTCCTTTTTTATTTGCATTTATGTTTTAAAAATGGAATTACAAATCATCAGATCTTAATATTTGGTCACATCCCCAGACTGGAATTTACTTAGTGTCTTCAGTGTATTCCTGGATATTTGCATATGTACATTTCACCACTCACTAGCAATAGGGAGGGAACAGTGATTTGGCAGAGTGCTTAATTTGGATGCTTGGGTTCTCTCCACAAACACCCAACCCTGCTTATTCAAACTCCATCTTCTGTCCATTCCCATTCAGTTGCTGTTCAAGAAGATTCTGAAGTCCTTTTTCTAGAAATCACAAAAAATAATACCATAGTTTTGTCCACAAAGGAAGAATGTCAGAGTTGACCATATCAAAAGTTAAAACCCCTTTATATTGAAAAGCACTGTGAAGTCGAAAGTAAAGAGAAAAGTGGGGGAACAAAATATACACAATATGAGCAATGGACCCAAGCCAAGGACCTAATTTTGTTAATTCTGTCATGTCGAAATATATACAATTGCTCCCACTCAATCATTTTTATCCACAAGCACAGATATTTCATATTTGTTGAACCTAATGTAAAAAAACTCATAGATTGAAAATGGACAAAACACACGAATGGAAGCTTCAGAGAAGAAAAAATACAAATGACCAATAAACCTGTAAAAACGTTTGACATCACAGGAAGTCAAAGAATACAAACGAAAATGAGATACTCTTTTTGTCTCTCAAATTGGAAATATTTTTAAAATGAGAAAAAATTCTCTATCTAAATTTGGGAAATGTATAAAATGCATATTGCTGGTGGGAGTGTCAGTTGGTACAACCTTTCTGAAGAGCAATTGGACCCTGCATATCAAAAGCCATAATTATAGAGATTTATAGAGGACCACAATTGGACAGAGATGCACAGATACATGTACAAGCATGCTCATCACAAAGGGATGTTGGTGGGAGTATCATGAGACATCTATAGTGGATTAGGTGATACTGCTCTAAATTTATTGATGAAAAGAATACATTGTGTAAGACTGATGAATCACAGACCTATATCTCTGAAACAAATAATACATTATATGTTAAAAAAAAAAAAAAGAAGATAGTAGGAAGGGAAAAATGAAGGGGGGGAATCGGAGGGGGAGACGGAACCATGAGAGACTATGGACTCTGAGAAACAAACTGAGGGTTCTAGCGGGGAGGAGGGTGGGGGGATGGGTTAGCCTGGTGATGGGACATACTGAATGGAGCACTGGGTGTTATA